CACAGAAACCAAGCTTACATGTATGATAATAGATGCCATCTTTCCAATGGGATACCAGATCCTGAGGAAAGACAGAGGGAACAGGGGGGGTGGAGGAGTGGCACTGCTGATCAAAAACTGATGGAATTTTGATGAGCTGGAGAGAGGAGACAGCGGAGAAACAAGCGATTACATAGCAGGAATGCTTCACTCTGGAGGTCCCAAGGTGGTAATTGCAGTGATGTATAACCCACCACAGAACAGCAGGAGGCCAAGGCAAGAGTATGACAAGAGCAATAGAGCAATGGTTGACACACTGGCTGCAGTGGCCAGAAGAGCTCATGCATGCAGGGCAAAGCTCCTGATCATGGGTGACTTTAACCACAAGGAGACTGATTGGGAGAACTTGGAGCCACATGGGGGCCAAGATACATGGAGGGTTAAGATGATGGAGGTGGTACTGGAAAACTTCATGTACCAACACATAAGGGACACTACAAAAGAGAGAGGAGAGGATGAACTAGCAAGACTGGACCTAGTATTCATCTTGAGTAGTGCAGATATTGAGGACATCACATACGAAAGACCCCTTGGGGCAAGCGATTATGTGGTTTTAAGCTTCGAATACACAGTAGAGCTACAAGTGGAGGGGGAAGCAGGAAGGCCAGGATGAATGAAGCCAAACTACAAGAAAGGGGACTACACGGGAATGAGGAACTTCCTGAATGGGGTTCAGTGGGACAGAGAACTGGCAGGGAAGCCAGTTAATGAGATGATGGAATATGTAGCAACAATGTACAAGGAGGCTGAGGAGAGGATTGTACCGTACCCAAGGGTAACAGGAATAATGAAAAAGCCAGGATGAGCCCATGGTTCACCCAAAGGTGCAGGGAGGCAAAAACCAAGTGTGCTTGGGAATGGAAGAAATATAGAAGGCAAAGGACCCAGGAGAATAAGGAGAGCAGTCGTAGAGCCAGAAGTGAATATGCACAGATAAGAAGGAAGGCGCAACGACAATATGAAAACGACATAGCAGCGAAAGCCAAATCTGACCCGAAACTGTTATACAGCCACATCAGGAGGAAAACAGCAGTCAAGGACCAGGTAATCAGGCTAAGGAAGGAAGGAGGAGAGACAACAAGAAATGACTGTGAAGTATGTGAGGAACTCAACAAGAGATTCAAAGAAGTGTTCACAGAGGAGACAGAAGGGGCTCCAGAAAGACGGAGAGGTGGGGCACACCACCAAGTGCTGGACACAGTACACACAACCAAGGAAGAAGTGAAGAGGCTTCTGAGTGAGCTAGATACCTCAAAAGCAATGGGGCCGGATAACATCTCTCCATGGGTTCTGAGAGAGGGAGCAGAGCCGCTATGTGTACCCCTAACAACAATTTTCAATACATCTATCGGAACAGGGAGATTGCCTGAGGCATGGAAGACAGCAAATGTAGTCCCAACCTTTAAAAAAGGAGACAAACATGAAGCACTAAACTACAGACCAGTGTCACTGACATGTATAGTATGCAAAGTCATGGAGAAGATTATCAGGAGATGAGAGGTGAAACACCTAGAAAGGAATGATCTCATCAACAGCAGCCAACATGGTTTCAGGGACGGGAAATTCTGTGTCACAAACCTACTGGAGTTCTATGACATGGTGACAGCAGTAAGACAAGAGAGAGAGGGGTGGTTGGATTGCATATTCTTGGACACACAAGAGATTAGTGCAAAAACTGGAGGACCAAGCAGGGATAACAGGGAAGGCACTACAATCGATCAGGGAATACTTGTCAGGAAGACAGCAGTGAGTCATGGTACGTGGCGAGGTGTCAGAGTGGGCACCTGTGACCAGCAGGGTCCCACAGGGGTCAGTCCTAGGACCAGTGCTGCTTCTGGTATTTGTGAACGACATGACGGAAGGAATAAACTCCGAAGTGTCCCTGTTTGCAGATGACGTGAAGTTGATGAGAAGAATTCATTCGATCGAAGACAAGGCAGAACTACAAAGGGATCTGAACAAGCTGCAGACCTGGTCCAGCAATTGGCTCCTGGAGTTCAACCCCACCAAGTGCAAAGTCATGAAGATTGGGGAAGGGCAAAGAAGACTGCAAACGGAGTAAAGTCTAGGGGGCCAGAGACTACAAACCTCGCTCAAGGAAAAAGATCTTGGGATGAGTATAACGCCAGGCACATCTCCTGAAGCGCACATCAACCAAATAACTGCTGCAGCATATGGGCGCCTAGCAAACCTCAGAACAGCATTCTGACATCTTAATAAGGAATCGTTCAGGATCCTGTACACCGTGTACGTTAGGCCCATATTGGAGTATGCGGCTCCAGTTTGGAACCCACACCTAGCCAAGCACGTAAAGAAACTAGAGAAAGTGCAAAGGTTTGCAACAAGACTAGTCCCAGAGCTAAGAGGTATGTCCTACGAGGAGAGGTTAAGGGAAATCAACCTGACGACACTGGAGGACAGGAGAGATAGGGGGGGACATGATAACGACATACAAAATACTGAGAGGAATTGACAAGGTGGACAAAGACAGGATGTTCCAGAGATGGGACACAGCAACAATGGGACACAGTTGGAAGTTGAAGACACAGATGAATCACAGGGATGTTACGAAGTATTTCTTCAGCCACAGAGTAGTCAGGAAGTGGAATAGTTTGGGAAGCGATGTAGTGGAGGCAGAATCCATACATAGCTTTAAGCAGAGGTATGATAAAGCTCACGGTTCAGGGAGACTGACCTAGTAGCGACCAGTGAAGAGACGGGGCCAGGAGCTTGGACTCGACCCCTGCATCCTCGACTAGGTGAGTACAACTATGTGAGTACACACACACACACACACATGCACGCACACACGAGCACCATTTTTAACTCCGCTGTTAGAAGCCCTGAGATTAAAAGTGCCAGTATTTTAAAAAAAATCTTCTGATAAAGAGCAGTTTTTTTTGTGGTGCTAATGAAACAAAAAATAGATTTTCCCCATCAATATTTACCAAGATAGATGCAAAACAGCCACGGGGATAAGCAGCTGTTTTGCATCTTGTATCGCTCGTTTGCGATTTTTTTGCACCTAGATGTACTTTTGCCCTTTATTTGGGGGGAGGAAAGTTTCTAATTTCTTTTTTTTTACACTTTTCAGTGCCTTTTGTGGCCCATGAGACCCATATCATGCATAATGTACATATAGCCACCCACTGTATATAACACAGTATCCGCATTAATTCATCACTACAATATTTACAAAACCTATATACACTGAGACGTAAACCCACACAGGTCACAAATGTTTCACATTATTACTGTTACAACATTTATACAAGTGTTGATCATGCTGCTAGAACTGTTGCATTCTGTGGAAGCGGTGTTGAACACTCTCAACATATAGCGCATGTCGCAACGCTTTGCTGGGCGCCTTGTTGTGCGTGCATAGACAACATTTATTCTGAGTCCAATACTTCTTGTCTGCAGCAAAAGTCTCGTGAGGAAATGAACATCAGTTTTACACGAGAGGATGTTTGGTGATTAATTGTGACCTGGTATTCATGTATTATTGCAATGAGCATTGCAATGTCCTAAGATTTCATATATCACTTGTAACTCTTGCAGACACAATCACAAAACTCAGTCTGCTTATCACATTTGTTTACCAAAAGCATATTGTTGGTGTAATCCTTGACAGCATCAGATCTCAAAATGTGCTCATCATTCTCCTCTTTAGTCACCTGTCTGTGTCTCATTTCGTGATGATGCACTGATGTCGACAAGGCTACATAACGTTTGTCATGCCACCTATATGCCCTGATGTCAGTGGCATGAAGCACCTGCACATAACTGGTAGCATTGCTTGCGTTGAACCTGGGCATATGTTAACATGTTCAAGCACTGTACCACACTCATGTGTCATGTTCACACGCAAGAAATCACTGACTTGTGAACCAATATATGGTTCCATCATTTTTCTCACCATGTCATCTGAGATACCCAATAACTACCTAGTATTTCTCAGTGTTTTACTTCTTGTGTACACTCCTGGATCCAACACCAGGCCAGTTTTACAGTCACACAACACAAAAATCTTGATTCCGAAACGTTTCCTCCTGCTTGGTATACATTGCTAGAAATATATATTCGATAACAAGGTTCCTGAAGAGATAAAAATACACACTGAACATCTGACTGAAATACATAAAAACATCCTTGATCGTGTATGACATCGTTCCTGTCGTGTCTTGTTTTGTGTGTGAAGTGTAGAATACGTAGCAGCATGATCAGTTTATTAATGGGGATAAGATCACTGAATTCTGCAGTACAAATTATTCGATCAGTCGATCAGAATGATTGACTATTGCACTTATATAAGGTACTATCAAAAAGTTCCAGCACTCGAATATTCGCGTGCTTCCTAGGTGAAATATAACGGTAGCGTAGATGCTGTTGCGCTGTACACTCTCTTGTCAAGTAGCGTAGATGCTGTTGCGCTGTACACTCTCTTGTCAAGTAGCGTAGATGCTGTTGCGCTGTACACTCTCTTGTCAAGTAGCGTAGATGCTGTTGCGCTGTACACTCTCTTGTCAAGTAGCGTAGATGCTGTTGCGCTGTACACTCTCTTGTCAAGTAGCGTCGAGAGCTTCCTTGAGGTTGGTTATTCATTCCTTTGAAGTTAAACGGGCATTTTTTGCTATGTTATCATTGCTTTGTTGCGATTTTTTGTACAACAGAATGAAGTCTTTAAAATAAAGAAGTACGCACGCGTGCGTGTGTTTTGTGAGTTGTGTGTGTGTGTTTGTGTGTATGTTTGTGTGTGTGTGTGTGTGTGTGTGTGTGTGTGTGTGTGTGTGTGTGTGTATGTGTGTGTAACCTGAACATCATCAATTTTTTATATATAAGTAACATCTCATTGAATATTTATACTTCCTTGAGCCACAATTGCTCTGTTTTAGCAAATTAACAAATATTATAGATAACTGTAAACGCAAAAGCTAACCAAACATATATCTTGGTTACAGAGAATGTCCTTGAGACCCTGGAAGCATGTGGTACTCTGGACGTCATTTCTCCTGAACGCATTTACCACTCTGTTCAAGATGCCGTTAAGTCTCTCACCCAACACGACCGACCTGTCGCTGAAGATCACTCATATACTAAACTGTAGGGCAAAAGTGCAGACTTTGTTCCTATCTTCATATAATGTACACATCAAGGACTAATGTATATGTCTAGATCTAATGTACCTATGTAGGTCTAATCTTATGGACACTAGGCAACCTCTTTCTTCTGGACGTAGTAGGTACTGGAGAAGGGCCCTTCATCCATCAAATTGAACTTCTTCCCTTCATTGGATCGAACCTGATTTCTTCCCATTTCTCAGGAACTGTAAGAATCACTGTGAGTTTAAAGATTCCCCAAAAATACAGTATAATAATAATAATAACAATAATAATAATAATAATAATAATAATAATAATAATAATAATAATAATAATAATAATAAAATAATAATAATAATAATAATAATAATAATAATATAATAATAATAATTATTATTATTATTATTATTATTATTATTATTATTATTATTATTATTATTATTGTTATTATTATTATTATTAATTTTAATTATTATTATTATTATTATTTTATTATTATTATTATTATTTTAATTATTATTATTATTATTATTATTATTATTATTATTATTATTATTGTTTATTATTATTATTATTATTATTATTATTATTATTATTATTATTATTATTATTATTATTATTTATTGTTGTTGTTGTTGTTGTTGTTTATTATTATTATTATTATTATTATTATTATTATTATTATTATTATTATTCTAATAATAATAATCATCATAACAATAATAACAACCTACTTGTAATGTACTTACTATGTATCTCCTTGAACAAATGTCTGAAAATTATACAATTGTCAAATAATATATGTAACATACATTTAGTTGTCAAAAATAATTTACTGTAACGCTTACTAACCTGCAATATTATAATTTTTGACATGAAAATTTTGAAGTAAATCAGTCATTAAAATATACTTTCAAAGTATCTCAAGATTAACAAATTATATATATTCGCAGTATTATCAATATTCGCTTACTAACATCTATTTGTTTACCAGTTTGCAAACCACACAACATAATTTACCATATAAATTCGTACCTATTTTAATAGGCACTCGTTAATATTTTAGTGCAAGAGAATAATTTTTTGTTTAATTATACTAGTTACAATTTTGCTAATTAATACTAGAGTGGACAAGTACATAACTTTGTCCACCAATACATTAATATTTAGTTAATCGCCACTAATACAGCTTAATACATGAGCACAAAGATATTTAGTTACTAATCAGTAATGTAGCTTAGTACACGAGTACAATAATGTTCAGTAAATCATCACTAAATAGTTTATTACACGAGTACATTCACACTAATCACGACTAAAACACCGTAGTACACGAGTACATTCACATTAATTGCCACTAACATACCTTAATACACGAATTCACTCATATTAGATGATCACAACAATTGTGCCTTTGCATACGAGTACATTCATATTAGTTAATTAGTTTATGGCGTTTTAGTAAGAAGATGATTGGTGTTCTAGAGGATTTATCAACTCTATCTGCTTCCTTGATAACAAGTTTGACACTGGGAAAATTCAGCAGATGGTTCTCAGTGTTGAGGTGACTATACAGGCGTCTTTGTTGTCATCTCTGGCAGGTACTCTTATGCACACTGATCATCGTGTTCAGGCACCTCGAAATTTCACTTACATAAAACCAGTCAAAACTTTCATAAGGTATCAAGCAAACGTCAATACAGAACACATACGACCATCTGAGGAACCTCCCAGGTGCCAAACCACAGTACTTATCAAGGAAGCACACAGAACAGAGTGTGCTTAGACTCTACTCAGATTGCCATGACTAACATTTTCACGCAGAAATCACTTTCTGAAACACTAACCTTACTTATTCTCACCGGATATGATGTTTCTGTTACATAAGTCTATTGAGAGGTACTGAAGTCAGACTTCGATGTTTCCACCTGGATAACTACATTACCACAAGTGACGTCACCCACCCTCCGCACCTCACGAGTTTTAAGTATTATATTTATATATATATATATATATATATAATTTATAAATATTATATATAAAATATATATATATATATATATATATATATATATATAAATAATATATATATATATATTATATATATATATATATATAATATATATATATTATATATATGAATCCTTGAACTATCTTTGCGAAAATTCACTAGGTCCTAGTAAACAAAAACCTTCTCAATAAAATCCCCGAAACGACCTATAGTATCTTACTAACATGCATGTACATGTGGGAATATTATACCACTGATAATCCTGTTTAATTACCTCTACAAGAGTGTTATCTTCTGCATTAGTCAAGTAAAACAATATAAAAAATATATGCATTTTGCTAACCCAGAACAAGCATATACATGTTGTGCCTATTAAACCAAAGTTGCCGAATAAGCCGAACTCCATTAAAAATTAAACTTCCTGGCTTAATCGGCAAGATATATATCTGTTGCTCCTATCACACGAAAGTGTGAAAGATCTAGAGCTAAAGATTTCCATCGGTAAGTGACTTGTTCTGCCATACGTGTTGTAAGAGGCGACTAAAATGCCGGGAG